AGAGGATATGACGTGGGATGCACAACGAAGATAAGTATGAAAAAACTGTTTATGTCCAACACAATATTTATTGACGTTTTTACTGAGGACCAGTTCTCACACTCGTTAGTCCGAACGATGCACAATAATTCCTCACGTTCCTTTTTTACAATTTTAACGACAGGTGTCTTTGTCCGGAGACGCGCACAAGTTGGACAAATCACTCTATTATTACGCTACTAGCATTCACGTAATAATTCACGCGAGACTTAAGCTGAGTTACAACATACGGCTCGTAATCACTCGAATCCCCGTCGCGATGTACTAAGTTTCTCGTCAAAGCACTCGTAACTATCGTAATGACTACGCGTCGAAGTTCGCGGAACATTAAACAACGGACGTAGATACTCTTTGTTAACACGCGGAGTGACCGTAGTTCAGCGTTGAAAATATTCAGAGCGACTGTGTCGAGTCCGCTCGGCGTCGCGCCTTATATAGTCGGGGAGTAGCGCGCCCCGCTCTCGACCCGCCGGCCAATGAGCGCGCGGCGCCCCACTGCTGAGGCTCCGGCGTATCGCGGCGCTCGGGAGTAGAGTATACTCAATTAGAGTTCCCGATTCGGATTTTCGCTATGCAAAGCCGACTCAACTAGAGTTCCTATTTTAGTATGATTTTCCAAAAACGCTTATAGATGACTTATACGTGCATGGACATACGAGGTGTGTTCAAAAAGTATCGCGAATTTTGTGTTTTTTCAAAAATTATTTATTTATTCATGAATATCTATTTTGTCCCCTTCAAAGTAATCCCCACCAGATATTATACACTTGTGCCAACGTTTTTTTCCAATCCTCGAAGCACTTCAAAAAATCATTTTTTGTGATCTTGTTCAGCTCCTCCTTCGATGCCGTCTTTATCTCCTCAATCGTAGCGTAGCGTCGTCCTTTCATGGGCCTCTTCAGTTTCGGGAACAAGAAAAAGTCACAGGGGGCCAGATCTGGGGAATACGGTGGTTGCGGCATTATTAGTGTGTTGTTTTTGGCCAAAAATTCGCGCACAAGCAACGATGTGTGAGCAGGCGACCCGTGTCATGCCCAAATCATTGGTAAAAATCGAATGGCACGAGCCAATCGATATGTTTAGGTCCTCAGCAACTTCTCTAACGGTGATTCGACGATTGACCAATACTATTTTCTTCACTTCATCAATGTTTTCGTCTGTTGTTGACGTGCTCGGGCGTCCGGCACGCTCTTCGTCGTTCACATCTCGGCCCTGGGAAAACATTTTGTACCACCGATAAACGTTGCTTCGGTCCAAGGTAGCTTCACCATATGCCACAGTCAACATTCGGAATGCGTCCGCGCACTTAATTTTGTTTTTCACACAAAATTTGATACAGATCCATTTTTTGGAATAGGCAAAAATCGAAGACGAGCCAAAACACGTGCAAGCAAAGCAGCTGTCAAAAATTAACTGAACATTCAAAATGGCCGTACTTGTCGGCATAAATGAGAAACATGAGTACCAACATAACGCCACAAAAAATCGAAAATCGAATATACGTAACCCGCGGAAATTCAAAATTCGCGATACTTTTTGAACACACCTCGTACTGTTATCGGTATTTACACTTATTTACAACTTATCAACTAACATGTTTTTGTACTTTTATCAATTATATCTTTTTTTGTCATTTTTCTAGAATTATTATATCTTTTTAGGTTACATATAATATGTTTATTTTTATGAGTTTTAAAGTGAAATAAACTTGAAAATAGAATAAATTTTATATTATTTAAAATCATAAAATATCCGTTTTTTGGATGATTTTAACCACGGAACTTGTGAACATAAAATCAACTATATAACTTGTTCAGAAATCAGAATAATCATTTATACGAGGGTCACTATTTATATTTCGGGAATTGGCAACACTGATGTCATGTGAGTCCATCTGACGGTTCCATCGTAATGTTTGACATTTTTGACGATATACGTACTCAGAACATTTTGTCATACGGACGCTATTTGTTTATTTTATATTTAGTTGAAAGTTTCGTCTCGGCAAAAAATGGAACTGAATCGTGAACATTTTCGTGCGATGATTTTTTACGACTTTCGACGTGGATTATCACAACAAGAGTGCGTCAATCAACTTAATTTGACTTTTGGCGATGAAGCTCCATCAAAAACCACTGTGTATCGCTGGTATAGTGAATTCAATCGTGGTCGTAGTTCGCTGTCCGACGAGTTTCGTGAAGGTCGTCCAAAATCGACTGTAGTGCCAGAAAACATCGATGCTGTGCACGAAATGATTAAGCAAGATCGTCATGTAACCTATTGTGAAATTGAGGCATCCCTAAGCATTAGTTCCACCAGCATATATGCGATTTTACATGAACACTTAGCTGTGCGAAAGTTATGTTCGCGTTGGATCCCACATAATTTGACAATCGCTCAAAAAAAGGCTCGTGTCGATTGGTGCAAAGAAATGCTTAAGAAATACAATCGAGGTGCTTCAAAAGACGTTTATAAAATCGTGACAGGTGACGAATCATGGATATATTCGTATGAGCCCGAAAGTAAGCAGCAGTCGACTGTATGGGTGTTCCAAGATGAACCAAATCCAACAAAAGTTGTTCGCGCACAAAGCACTTCAAAGAAAATGGTGGCCTGTTTCTTCGGAGAAACTGGTCATATTGCAACAGTGCCTCTAGAGGATCGTAGAACAGTAAATTCTGAGTGGTACACAACCATCTGTTTGCCAGAAATCTTCGGTGAAATAAGGAAAACAAACAAGAGACGTCGGATTGTTCTTCATCATGACAATGCGAGCTTTCACACATCGGCTCAAACAAGAGACTATTTGCGCACTCAAAACATCGAATTGATGGATCATCCGCCGTACAGCCCTGATTTGGCACCCAATGATTTTTTTTTGTTCCCATCCGTGAAGAATAAACTGCGTGGTCAACGATTTTCATCGCCCGAAGAAGCTATTGAAGCGTTCAAAAATCATGTTTTGGAGATATCTCATTCGGAATGGAATAAATGCTTTGAAAATTGGTTTAAGCGCATGCAAAAGTGTATCGATCATCGTGGCGAGTACTTTGAAAAACAATAAAAATATATTCGCAGCTTAACTATTTGTTTTTGTTCCTATTCCCGAAATATAAATAGTGACCCTCGACCTATAGTTGTTTGCCCTCAACTTGGGTGCATGATTAGAATAAGTTCCAAATGATCGGTTCGCTCGTCCGGGATGTTTCTGCCACCATTCCATGAGATTTTTCGTGAACCTTTAAATCTTCAATCAAAGGTTTTGGTTTGTTATTTACCATCAATTTATGGCTCGAAAATCTTTCCGTGGAGTCAGGAACATTCCGTCGTTTGATTTTAATCGAATAAGGTATCGATACCGTTGGATTGTTCATTCGGTATTTCGCGTCCATCCCATCCATGGGATATCTTTGTCTGGCTTATTCTATGGATTATTCATCCATGCAAATCTTTTAAACTAAAATCACAGTCGATGTTACGCATCGCGTGGACCGACTATCATCAAATAAGTTAAACTGAAATGTCATTGTCTTAATTCGACAGAGTAACGTAAACTAAAACTTTTACATGGATTATTTTATTTATCATGACTTTTTATCCATGGATTGGATCAATACAATAAAATAAATATCAAACTTGCCTGATAGGTTAATCGGAGTTTTGCATGGATGGATATTTTCGATCGATATTATCCTTGTCCGAAGCCGTGGATGGACTTACCTTAGTTCGATTCATGCATGACTAATTAGTCGATGGGTGAAGTACCCTAAAACTTAACACTAACTTAACCTATGGATAGATATCTTTATTTACATGGGGTGACGAGAAAGAACTTATTCCGTATTGGGAATGTCTTGGACGTGATGTCGTGGATCCATCAAATCGCCTTGGCTGGTGGTCTGCGACGTCTGAGTCAGCAATCGCTGCGTCTGCAATGGCTGTGTCTGGGATAGCTGCGTCTGCGATGTCTGCGTCTTCGAACCGCGACCATCCGTCGGTCGCATACCCCCTTCTCTCGTTTCGGGAGTTAGTGCAACGGCTTCCGGAACTAGGTCCTTAAGGTTGGGAGACGCTGGCTTCGCAGCTTCGTCCTCTGATTCGTCGTTGATTTTGACGAATTTGCCTTTTGAGTTCCTTCTTCGTCTAATTATATTTTTGGGCTGTGCAGTGTTGTCGTCCGAACTGTGCAATGAATTTTCCGCGTACGAAACAGGTTTTGTGCTTCGCATCGGTTTTCTTGATTCAGATTTTCGCCTGTTTGCGTCTTTGATCGATATTTTAAGTTCCTTCGGACACTTGGTTACGCTCTTTATCTTAATTTCTGGGGATAGTTTGCGCTTGGATCCTCGATGTTTCGGAGGATCTTGGTCATTGGGTGGAATGTTCTCGTCGGATTCATGATCCGAATCGACAATGACTTCGTATCTCTGTTTCACGTGAGTATCTCTTCTTTTTGTATTCGCGTAAGAAGTTGATGGACCCGGTTGAGGTGATGGTTGTTTATTTTCCTCTCGGTCTATGGATCGCGATGTTTCGGTTTGCGGTGTAGGCAGGTTCTCCACGTTTGTTCTCGCGAGTGATAACTCACGCTGCGATGATCTTGGTGGTTCACGGATCTTTTGTTCCATAGGATTGTTTGCACTGGCATTTTGGGTGGTTGTATGGTCCGTTTGTTCCTCTCGCGGTTGCTGAAGCGATTGGTTGTTCTTTCGCTGATGTTCTTCTATATCCTTCGTAACTTTTTTGTTGTCGTAGATTACGAACGGTTTGTTTTTATTAGGCTCTTCTAGGGCGTATGTTGCCATTCTGCCGGCCCATTCTGCAACAACTCTTTTCTGGAACTTTTTACCGATTATTTCTTGGCTAATCGTGATCGGTTTTTTCGCCATGTGTTCGATCCCTTTGTCACATTTGACATTCGTCGACGTTGTAATTATCGCTGTAGTGTTGTCCGCGTAGTCTTATAGGGAAAACTTTTCTACATAAGTATAACCGTGATCCGATTCTTCGTCAATCGGCTGTTCCCACTGTCGGATGTAATCGTCTTTCTCGCTATCACTTTCCGACAAAGGTTTTTCCTTGGTCCTTTGGATCAATTTCTCGAGACGTCGTATTTGTCTCTTTTTCCGCGCGATTTTCCTTTGCTGCAAGGCTTGGTGAAGTTGCTCGCTTAATTCGCGTTCGCGTAATTCTAATTCGCGTAATTGTTTTTCCATCGCGTAGTCGGATAACGTCACGTGTTGTTCGTACGGTGCGCACTGGGTCACTGACTCGTTTGTGCGTGTCGCGTTTACGTCGCGTGTCGCGTAGTTGCTCGGTGGGGAGACGCTCGGTGGGGGGTCGCTCGGTGGGGGGTCCCGCGTTGCGTTCTCTCTTCGCGCGCTCTCCGTCTCTTCGAGTGACTTTGATACGTTATTGATTTTTGTGATTTCGCTCGTCCGGTAATTTATTTTGACGGGTTGTTGATCGAGTATTGTCAAAAATTCTGTCGAACGTTTGAGTGCAAATAGTTTATTAATTTTTTGTTTTTCTTTTTCAGATTCGGGCTGGTTTGTGGATGAATTTAATTTTTCTGATGGTGAGTAAATTAAATTTTTATTATCCAATTTTTCTTTTGTAACCCCTTCTGATTCTCTTTTTTTTTCGGGTTGATAGTCTCCTTTGGATGGCCTTGGATCTTCGGGTGGTGAGTATCCTTTATTAGCTTGATTACTAATTTTCTTTCTTTTTTTAGGTTCCCTGGGCTGTTTTGGATTTTCTTGAGGTAAGATGTTTCCAGACATAATCGGATGTTGGCTGATTACTTTTTCTTTTTCAGGTCTCCTGGCTGTCATGGACTTTACTTGTGGTGAGTATCTTTCCTCTTCTTCTATCCTTATGGATTTTTTCAATTGGTTTATTTTTTCAGGTTCCTGAATTTTGGCTCTTCCTCTAGTTGTATCAACGTTTTGGTAAGTATTATCAATTCCAGATTCGTTTTGCGGTTGAGTTTTAACGAATTGAATTACAGTAGGTGATTTCAATGGTATATCAGTTCTGTATGATTATTGCTGGTATGGAATTGATTGTTCGATTTTGGTATTTTTATTGTAATTTATCCATGGAAATTGTTGATTTATTGGATTTAGTGGATGTAATTTTTCGATTTCGTGAAAAACTGCATTTTTTACTTTTGTCATTTTGTTAGCATTTCACTTTTCTTTAGGCGATTTAGGTTGTTTATCGCCCCCTTCTACTTTTGATTTTTCAAGTAGCTTGGTGATTGGAACTAACGAAATCATTTCGTTTTATGGGCTTCTTCTTCTGAATCGTATCTAAAATAAATAAAACTTTTTTCAGGATTTCCTTGCTGCAAAATTCTATTTTGTGGATAATTTGGTGTTGTTTTATCCATACTGCTGATTTTATCAGGTAAGTTTTTGTTTCATTGTCCGGTTTTTTGGTGGACTTTATTTTTTCCTATAAATTTCCATTTATTTTATCACTTGTTTATCCATTAACCATTTTTATTATTGTGGCTATTGAGAACGCCCCCTTCTAATTTGGATTTTAAATTAGAGGATGTGTTATTTTAGGAATTTTTGCTGATGGACTGCAAGTAACGCCCCCTTCTAATCTTGATTTAGAATGGATAACTCTTCTGTTTGTTTCGTACTTTTGGATATTGGTAAGTATGCGTGTTTCCTTTCGAATAATTAGAAGATGTTTCTTTGGCTTTTGATGGAATGCCCCCTTCTAAATGAGATTTCTTTAGAAGACGTTTCTATTCTTAATTTTTGTTATTTTTGCAGATGGATTGCAATTTGTGGATTTCCTCTGGATAAGGCTTTTCTATTTATTTGATGCGGGTAAGTATAATAACGCAAACTGCAAAACATCAAGTGGAACAGAGAATATATATTTGTTTATAATGTAAGATAATAAAACATGAATTTTGAAAAAGTGTTTTTATTATTTAGGATATTTAATATATTACTGAAAAATTTAATCGAATTATATTTTAATTATAGATTTGAATAGTAGTAATTGAGAAGGTGGAAGTTTTAGAATAGAATTTATTTTTTCTTTTTGTTTTTTGATTTTCTATTCTTATTTTTGTTTCTTCTTTTTTTAGGTTTGAATTTCGATGCTGGTTTTTGAATATTGTTATTTATCCTCTTCTGCTTTTGTGTTTTATGGTTTCTTTTTTCTCGAAAAACCTTATTATTTCTTCCGGGTTGATAATTGTATCATCCGATGATGTTGATGCTGATGTGTCTAAGCTGTCACTAGAGGATGTTTGAGAGCTGATAACTAATTTTTCGAGCTTGTCTATTAACCTAAATATTTCTTGATGGTTGTCTCTCAAATTAAATAGGTTTTCAGCATTTGGAATTTTATTTTTCCTGCTGTGCTGTTTTTCGTGTGACGTCTCTTTTGGAGGCTTATCGATTGATTGTGATGATGTTGTGTCACTTTCACTCGAAGAATTTTCGGAAAAGTCTATTTTTTGTGATTCAAATTTTTGTGCCTGTTTTTGTAGTTCTTCTTTTTTTCTATTAAATTTTTTGTTATGTTTTTTAATTTGAGTTTTATTTGCTTTTTTGTTACAGGATTCGAAAATTTATTTTTATTTTCTGGTGATTTCTTCTGGATATTTTTACTACCTTTTTCAATTTTTGATTTGTTTGCGGGTTTTCTTCGCTTTATTATTGAGATGCTGTTAATTCTCTTGATGTTTTCTTGAAGAGGTAGTTTTTTCGTTGTGTTCGTGTGTTGTTTCCTGGTATTGCGGTATTTTTTCGGAGGATTTTTGCACTTATTTTCTTTGTTTGCTCTTCCAACAGGTAGATATTTTTTCAATTCATTTCTCGTTGATGTTTCGACGAGTTCTTTTCTCATTTTCTCTAATTTTTTAATGTGATCTAATTTTTTATTAATCTTTGTTGTTAATTTATTTTGCAACTGGAATAAATGACTTATTTGTTGTTTGGTTTCCTGTTGCAACTTATCTGATAGAGTTTGAGCTGTTTTAAATAATCTATCTATTTTATTAGCAATAAATTTTCCTTGATGTGCGGTTCGATCAGTTGTTTGTTGGTTTCTAGAATTCTTCTTAGCTGCTCCTTGTATGGGTATTCTTGTAATGGCTGAGATTGATTTAAAAATTTGTTGATCCTCGTTTGATTTGATATTATTGTTCAAATCTGTTCGTGATTCGTTATGTTTGTTTGAATCGCTTTCTTCAGAATCGGATCGGATATCTGAAGATGAACTATTTGTCGAAGAATCTGTTCTCCGCCTAATCGTAGATACCTCTTTCTGCTCCTTCACTCCTGGAACATTCGGGATTTTTGAAGCTTTCGCGCCCCTACGTGGACCAAGAGTCATTCTGGAATTGCATCCAGAGTCTGATTGTACTTTCGGTTTTGGCTTCATCTTCGTTTCCGAATTTTGTCCGTACCATTCGATCGCTTTTATTTCTGGATTTTTCCAGTGCGATTCTTGGTTTTGACTCGGAATATATTGCTTCTTTTTGTACACGCTCTTCGTCGAAGTCTTCTCCGTGGATTTCTCCTTGACGGATTTGGCGTCAGCGGCTGCTCTTCGCTCGTCCTGGATCTCCTCCAGTATATCTATCAGGTCTGCGATGCTCTTGGTTGTCGACCATTTGATTTCGCGCGTAACACTTCCATCGAAGTGTCTCTTTACGCAGCGGATGATCTCCAAATCGCTCATGGGCGGATCAAGGTATTTCGCTTGTCGCGCCAAGTCCAAAGCGTAGTCCGACATCCTCGATGTCTTCGTTGCTCGGTATTGACCCATGTAGATTTTTTCGCGGAATTTCGCCTGCTGTACTTCGCCTCAGTAATGCTTTGTGAAAGCATCCCGTGCTTCATTAACGTGCGCGAATTCTTGCAATTCGAACCAAATGCTCGCTTGGTCCTTCATGCATCTTCCGAAGAAGTGAAGCAAGTCGCGATCGTCGACATCTTCGTGTGTCGCGATGCTGTTGAATTTCTTGAGAAAGCGAATGGGATTCGTCTCCTCGATCCTTCCGTTGAACCTTAGTTCGTCGAAAGGGTTTTTGATCCATCCTCCTCTGGGAAGTCGTATGCCGTCTTGTGGTGCTACGTACTGCCTCGGTAAGGACGCGTTGTTGTCCGTTCCGTCCGATGATATCGAGCTTCGCGAGTCGCGCCTCTGTCTCAAGGTGTTTGCGTTTTTAATCGCACTGAGTATCGCATCGAACTTTAATTCCAGTTCGAGAATCTTTGGATCGATTTCCTGTTTGGGTGTCGTCTGTGTTGACACACCTTGTTCAGGTTCTTCGGTCTTACGCGTTGGATTACGGATTTTTCCTGAGCGTAGGCTCATCGGTGGTGAGTGAATAACTCCCTTGAACTCCTTGTCTTGGGGTCCGTTAGCTCCGTCCATTTTTGCCGAATTTACAGGTTTTTTAATTTACCCGAATTGTAGCTAATTTACGCGTAATGCTATAGCTAATTTATTTAATCAACTCGTTTTTAATCGACCGGTTTGATCGTTGAGCTGAAAATCTATAAAAATTTCGCAAACCAAATTTTTCGACTTAATATTCGCTTTCGGGTTTTCAATCCTAATCGCTGAATACGCGCTGCCCTTTGTTGAAGGATTTTGTGCGCTAATCGTTGTCTGGATTTACAGCTAAAATACGCGAAAATTCTTTGTCGGAATATCGCGTTTTATTATTTTTGTAAAAAATTTCGCAAACCAAATTTATTTGACTTTATATCCGCTTTCGGGTTCTCAATCCTAATCGCTAAGATACGCGCCGCCCTTTGTTGAAGGATTGTTTGCGCTTTATGAAATTCTTTCGAATATTCACAGTCCTTTGGATTTACAGCTGAAATTCGCGAAAATTTTTGCAAATATCGCGTTTTACATTCATGCACGAATTTATTTAACGTGGCTAACTATTAATATACTATTCGTTTCTAAGTTAATTTCCTCACGAATTTATTTTATGCACAAATTTATTTCACGTGACTAACTGTTGTATTCGCTTCTAAGTTAATTGCATCACGAATTTATTTTATGCACGAATTTATTTCACGTGACTAACTGTTGTATTCGCTTCTAAGTTAATTGCATCGCGAATTTATTTTATGCACGAATTTATTTCACGTGACTAACTATATATTATCCGCTTCTAAGTTAATTGCTTCACGAATAAATATTTTATTTGCACAAAGTTAACTGTGTCTCACTATTCGCGTAATATTGTACGACTTTCTCGAAATATTCGCGAAATTTTATTTATTTGATAACCGTGTATATGCAAGCCTCGTTATCCGCTGCTCGCCGAATTTATTCTTCAACGAGTGTCACGGTCGCCAGGTTTGACGTATCGGGACTTATGCCGATCGCCTTTATGGCTCGCAATTGATACTACTCACGGCGGCTTATTTCACTGTGACCGAACCTGTATGGGTAGGTATCTTTCCTTCGGACTTACCAATCACAGGGGCCACCGCTTTCACCGGAAAGGTCGCCAGTTCTTTTATCCTATACAAAGAACAAGGTATTGAGTGCCGCCGAGGACCCTTTGTCGCCGCCGTCCTTTGTGATGCCGCGCGCCGCCTTTGATGGTCGCCGCCGCCGCGTCGAACGTAGTCGAGTCGGGATGATGCAATCCGCGCTCGAGGCAGGTAATCCAAGTACGTACTCACTTTCTCACTTATTTCCAGGTCGTCGCGGGATCTTTCATCACCAACGCAGTTAGGAAAAATTCGAGAGGATATGACGTGGGATGCACAACGAAGGTAAGTATGAAAAAACTGTTTATGTCCAACACAATATTTATTGACGTTTTTACTGAGGACCAGTTCTCACACTCGTTAGTCCGAACGATGCACAATAATTCCTCACGTTCCTTTTCTACAATTTTAACGACAGGTGTCTTTGTCCGGAGACGCGCACAAGTCGAACAAATCACTCTATTATTACGCTACTAGCATTCACGTAATAATTCGCGCGAGACTTAAGCTGAGTTACAACATACGGCTCGTAATCACTCGAATCCCCGTCGCGATGTACTAAGTTTCTCGTCAAAGCACTCGTAACTATCGTAATGAATACGCGTCGAAGTTCGCGGAACATTAAACAATGGACGTAGATACTCTTAGTTAACACGCGGAGTGACTGTAGTTCAGCGTTGAAAATATTCAGAGCGACTGTGTCGAGTCCGCTCGGCGTCGCGCCTTATATAGTCGTCGGGGAGTAGCGCGCCCCGCTCTCGGCCCCCCGGCCAATGAGCGCGCGGCGCCCCACCGCTGAGGCTCCGGCGTATCGCGGCGCTCGGGAGTAGAGTATACTCGACTAGAGTTCCCGATTTGGATTTTCGCTATGCAAAGCCGACTCAACTAGAGTTCCTATTTTAATATATTTTTTCAAAAACGCTTATATTTAACTTATACGTACACGGACATACTATTATCGGTACTTACACTTATTTACAACTTATCATCTAACATATTTTTGTATTTTTATCAATTATATATTTTTTTTGTAATTTTACCGTATATATTTATTTTTTGATTTTTATATTAGTTTTAAGATAAATACAATGTAATTGAAATAGAATGACATATGACATAACATTGTCAAGTAAAATCATAACACATTCTTTGAAATGAAAATAATCTATCTTTGATAATTTTTCACTATAATCATAATGTGTGTAAAAGTAAAATGTAAATTTTTGAAAACAAAATTATCATCTCACAACTAAGTTTGCTGGAACTTGTGTTTAAAAACTTGATATGCTCGTTTGGGATGATTCTGACACCCTTTTGTGCAACTTTCTCATTGACTTTAGAATCCTCATTGGGTGCTCTAGATTTACTGGACCCCATGAACTAATGGTCCAGTGATCGACTCATGGTGTCAGAACCATTCCATCGGGCTATCCTATTATTATAACTTATTAGAGTCGCGTAATCCTTCTCGCGATATTTTAGGTATGTCGCGTCCATGGGATTGCTCCCCGACTCGTTCTGAGGAAAGTTTATCCATGCATTTAGTTATAAATTAAAATGAACGTTAGTCTCATACTTTGTATGGATAAAATAATTTAAAATGAATTCTAACTGAATGGAATCACTAAACTTACGTTTCCCATAAATAGTTCTACTTGAAACTATTTTTCATCTATGCGTTAACTTAGAAAACTAAAGTAAACCATAAAATATTTAAAATAAACTTTCATTAGATAAAATCATTAAACTTAGATTTTCCATGGATAGTTTTGCTTGACACTATTTTTCATCCATGCATTAACTTAAAAGAATAAGGTAAATCATAAATCTTACCTGACCGGTTATTATTAAATTTACATGGATAAATCTCCTCGTATCTGCTATCCGGAATGCTGGATACCTTAAGCTTCCATATAGGTCCTTAAAACTATCTTAGCCTATGGGTTAAATATTTTATTATATTTACATATGTTGCGCAAAGGGTTTATGCAGTATGGGGAAGTTCCTGCAGAGCGTGTTGCTGGTCCGTTATCTCGTGCGGGATGGTTAGCTGCAGCACCTGTGATGGCTGGATCTCCGAGTGGCGGCCAGTCGTCGGTCGCAGGGTCACTACTTGACCTTGCCTTAACTGGTTGGGTCACCACTCGACCTTGCCTTCACTGACTGGGTCACTACTCGACCTTGCCTTAACTGGTTGGGTCACCACTCGACCTTGCCTTCACTGGCTGGGTCACTACTCGACCTTGCCTTAACTGGTTGGGTCATCACTCGACCTTGCCTTCACTGGCTGGGTCACTACTCGACCTTGCCTTTACTGGTTGGGTCACTACTTGACCTTGCCTTAACTGGTTGGGTTGTGACCGAACGTGGTGAGAGAAGAAGCCCTCCTTTCGACTTACCAGCCAACAGACGTCCCGCTTTCACCTTTGATGGTCGCCACTTACTTTAACCTTAACAAGTAAGAAGGTGGAAGTAATCAAAGTGTTCCTTTGATGTAGGTACGCCCTGTGATGCCGTCAGGCTCGAGCCGTCCTTGATGTGTGCCGCTCCGTCCTTTGAAGATGGCCGCTGCTGCGACGCAAGTCAGTGTTGCGTCAGGTGTGTGCGAACAATGAAAATTCGCAGGAACTTGACTAATTGCTTTCACTCCTTTGATTTCAGGATACCGACGGACTGTCTCTACGTCCTAGGAACGGATTCACACCCGAAGGAGATACGACGTGGGATGCGGATACGTAGGTAAGTAACAGATCACGTTTTTTCAGGTTTCACTACGAACGTTTATTCAATAGCGTCCTACGCTTGAACTCTGTACAATGGCTACGGATTACACTCACTTGATTTCCGCACGACGGTTTATTTCACCGTTCACAAACACTCGCGATCAGTTCGCTTGCGACAAGCGTTATGCCGCCTATTAGTTTGCGCATTCGTTAAACGGTTTCGTATCGATTGTGATTTTATCGCGGACTAGATTTGCCGTGGCTTGTCTAGCAGTTGCACGCGAATACACTGATCGAACGAAATTAACGAGACAGTATTGTCCCGGACAAGTCGCACAACTTTCGCATGCAAAGATGCTACTCGCCTAATAACGGTATTCACACGACTGCCACTCGCGTTATCCCGAATCACGATAAGCGTAAAACAAAGTCTACGCTTCCGTAGGTACGTCTGTCTTCGAACCGTGCAGACTACGTCTGACTGTGCGATCGAGTTCGTACCGTGCCGACTGTGTCTAGTGATGTTCGCTCCCGGCTTTTATAGTACGCC